AGTCCCAGGGGATCCAACAGCCTCTTCTGACCTCTGTGGGCACTGCACAACTTGGGTGAACCTACCTACAGGTAGGCAATACACAAATACACATAAAATAAAAATAAAATATTAAAAAAAACATTTTTACATTATTCATTTCCTACACAATCCCAATGAGGGTTTTTTTTTTTCCTCATTTTAATACATCTCAATTGAGGATAGATTTCAAGGGCTCAGCAAATACATATACCTAATGGCTACCATCCTGGGAAGCATAATTATAATCTACTTACTAACCTTAAGTTAAAAGCAAACCCCACAGAATCACCTGTCCCTCAAAGGACAAGCAAAAAATAATGGCAAAGGGCCGGAGAGATGGCTCAGCAGTAAAGAGCACTTAACTGCTCTTGCAGTGAAGACCAGAGTTCAGTTCCCAGCACTCAAATGTCTAGTGGCTCACAACCACCTGTAACTCCAGCTCCAAGGGATCTGATACCCTCTTCTGGCCCCAGAAGACACTGCACTCATATGTATTCAGACATGCACGTACACGTAATTAAAAGTAAAAAATACGCTGAGTGTGGTGGCACACGCCTGTAATACCAACAGAGGCAGGTGGATCTCTCTGAGATCAAGGTCAGCATGGGCCACATAGCAAATTGGAGGCCAGCTGGGGCTACAGGGGAACCTTGTCTCAAGAAGACAAAGAAAACAATAAAAAATTTTTAAAAATCTTTTTAGAAAATAGCAAAAGGGGTGGGGACTGGAGAGATGGCTTAGTGGTTAAGAACACTGGTTGCTCTTACAGAGGAGCCGGTTTTAATTCCCAACATCCACATGGTGGGTAACAACCACCTGCATGCACATGCTGCACCTATATACACTCAGGCTTGCTCACACAAATATTTTGATGGCAAAGTACTCTTGAGTATTCACTTTGTGCTAGGCTATGTATTAAGATTCTTGCCCAAATAGTTTGCCATTCTTACTCGACACAAGGCGAGTTCAGGGGTACCCTCTAAATCGCTTGTGCGTGTGCGTCTGTGTGTGTTGAGACAGGATCTGGGTTCAATGCCGTCCAGGCCTCTAAATCGCTTTGGTTGAGGTTACAGGCGTGAGCCACCATGCCCCGCTTGAAAGAAATTTCCAAAGCCCGCTGTTGCACTGTCCTGCCCGGGTCATCCGCCAACCTCCAAGTCCCTGGTCAGCGATGACCCTCCTCATTTACCCAAGGGCTGTTGGCACTAAAGGCTGGTCATGGTGGAGTAAGGAGTTTCTGGACCAAGTGAGATGGCGCACGCCTTTAATCCCACCACTCGGGAGGCTCAGACAGGGGGATCTCTTAGTTCCAGGCCAGCCAGGGGGATTTAAAAAAAAGAGCTTCTGCTCGAGCAGGTGTAGATCACCTGCGAGTCCTGCGGGTGGTGCGACTCCGACCTCTCCATCTCCTCCCCAGACTCCCCTCTGACTTTCGACTGCGATTCCGACTCCAATTTGGACTCGGAATGGTGATCCTCTTCCGTTTCCTGTTCCGGCTCTTTCTACTTCTCCTCACTATCCAGGCCCGACGGAGAACTATCGGTGGGCCACACCACAGTCCCGGCCCCTTCAAACTTCACGTGACCGCTAGAAGGCCCCCGCTTCCGGGAGCTCCGGCTCGGCTTCCGGGCCGTCGAGACCGTTGCCAGTTCATTTCTCGCGGCGGAGACGCCCACTTCCGGCCGGCCGGTGCAACGCTGGTGGAGGTAAGGGGGACTCGCCCGGGGCCTCTTCCCGAGCCCGCCTCCCGCCCGGGTGGCCCGGGCTCTGCTCTTCAGCGGGAAATGTCCCCCTCCTCCCTCCGTCCCCGCGCAGACGCAGAGCTGAGCCTGTAGCCTCCAGACAAAGGGTGACGCCGAGGCCCGTCGTCATGGCGGCGTCGCAGCCCAGCCTGGCCGCCCAGAGTCCCGCGGTGCCGCTCCAGCAACAGGAGGGAGCCGGCGGCAGCGGGGAGCCGGAGCCCCAGCCCTCGAGCCCTTTGGATCCCGTCCCCGCGCTGCCCACCTCCCCGGAGCTCCCCGGCGCGCTCGCAGCGCTGGGCTCCGCGCCGGAGGCCGAAGCCACCCCGAGGCCCGGAGGCGCCCGGCCCGGCCCCGAGACGTTCCGCCAGCGTTTCCGGCAGTTTCGCTACCAGGACGCCGCGGGTCCGCGGGAAGCGTTCCGGCAGCTGCGGGAACTCTCCCGCCAGTGGCTGCGGCCCGACATCCGCACTAAGGAGCAAATAGTGGAGATGCTGGTGCAGGAGCAATTACTGGCCATCCTGCCCGACGCATCCCGCGCTCGGCGGCTCCGGCGCCGGGCGGACGTGCGCATCACCGGCTGAGCGTTGGAGCTCAGGGCTCCCAGGACTGGGGTCGGGGGCTGGAGCCTGGCCCCCTTCCCCATGTTAATAATGAAAGGCGAGTTTTGACAGCTGCTGTGGTCTGATGTCTCTTTCGTTCGTCTTTTTTTGGGTTAGCTAATGTCCTATCATTCTAATTGACGAAGGAGCTTGGGAGCCCATGAGGAAGGCTTTTGCCTATTCCTGGGCTACAAAGGTTGTGCTGAGCTCGGCCCTTTAGCGGGTAATGTCTCCCTTCTCACTTTGTTGGCTACATCTGGGCCGCTCCGACTCCATCTCGGCCGTTTTTCCTGGACTCCCGAGAACTCAATTTGCTTTGTTTTGTATAAGGCCATGTTATGAGGGTGCAGCCTTGACTTCCATGCTACCTCCACCTCGTATTAACCAGTATCTGAGCTTTTTTTTCTATCTGAATAGATGGCAGCAATACATAATGGTTTAGATTGGGCAAACAAAATAGTTGCGGTGTGGTGGTGCACACCTTTAATCCCATCGCTCTCAAGGCTGAGGCAGTTTTTGAGTGAGACCTGTCTCAAGCAAACTAAAAAGGTTGGCCCTATTAAATGCTTATTTAACTAGCTACATCTATCAATACAACTACTGTGGGGTACAATGTATTTTGCTATTTGCCCTCATAGGGATAGACTAGGGTCGATTTGTGAGCTTGTTTTATGCTTTTGAACTTGTGCACCTCGTCGTCAAACTATAGGCTTCTGGTAGAATTTAAGCAAAACTGAGGGCTGAGACTAGTTTAGTGGTAGAGCACTTGCCTGGCAAAGGACTTGGGTTCCATCGCTAAGAGATCTAACAAGTGATGTGTAACCAAGGAAAACTAAAGCTTGGAGCTTCACTGTTAGGATTAAGACGGGTGCCATGCCGCCCGGCTTCTACAAAATTTTCATACAGGATAAAGGCAGGCATGCTTTGATGGGTAATGATAACATGTCTATAACCCAAGCACTCAGAGTTTTAAAGGGATGAAAAAGTTTAAGGCCAACCTTGGGTTACAGGGTTACATAACAAGCTCAAGGCCAGTCTGGGCTGCATAGTAAGACCTTGTCTCAAACAAAACCTCTTTATAGTTCAGTAATATGTGACTGAAACATAGCAACAAGAACCTGTTTTTATTTTTCCAAATAACAGATACAGAAGTTGGCATGTTTTGCAAATGTTACCTCAGAGCAACATTTCTCTATATACAATGCCTTCTGTTCTAATAGTGCGTAAACAGATATGTATCCACAGTACAATGCTGGCTCATCAAGAATCCACTTTGCATACATTTATCACGCAAAATGATCGAGGCAAGGTTTTATAGATGGACAGTTTTTCTTAACAGACAAAACTTAGGTAGTGCACGTATTTCTAAATGATATCAGCATTGTTTGCAAATAACAGATTCCAGTGCTCCAACATAGGGATTAACTCACTTTGACCCAGGAATTGGGAATGGAGCCCCCCAAACATGGCTTTAAATTAGGAAAAAAACAGAGGTTATCAGAACATGGGGAGTTTTCTTTGCTTCCCTAAGAACAAAAGTCACAACAAAACCAGACTATTTCCTTCACAAAACCTAAATAAACCCAGTAATAACCACTTGGCAAAATTAGCATCACTCAGTTTCCACTTCCATCTTTGAACAAGACACAAAACCAACGACCTTCAGAGAGGCACAGTTGCCCCAGACATGATACGAAAATGTAGTTTTATAGATGGAAAACCAGTAATAAAAATTACTCCATTTGTGTGTGTGCACATGCCAGCAATACTGCATGTGGAGGTCAGAGGAGAACCTGAAGGAGTTGGTGCTCTCCTTTCCATGTGGGTCCCAGGGATTGAACTCCGGTCATCAGGCTTGTGGCAAGCACCTTTACCCATTGAACCATCTCACTGGCCCAAGATTAGTAATCTAAAACAATTATACCTCACATAGTCGTGGCTAGAAAAAAATCATCTTGTTTCTTCCCTTTTCAGACACAAACACAATTCTTAAAATGCAGCTAATGACAGTTATCCAGAACACAGATGTCATGCAGAGTCCTGGAGCGTTTCTTCCCAGACCAGAAACGCCAGTGTCAGCAGCAGGAAGCAGCCTTTTGGAGGCGCTGTGTTGGCTTCATTACATGTTACAGCTGCACACCTCTATGGTATATAAGCTCTACCAGGTCAACTTCTACTTGTCCTGTGGTTTATTTTACGTCAGATTACTGGACAGCATTTGTTCCCTGAAAAGTCTCTACAGAGGTCTGAATTCATGACTGATAACCTGTGCCTGAAAACTTACCATTCCAAAGGTCACTGGAGATCACTGTCCTTGCTACTGAGACACTGGCTACTTCACATTTACATAGTAAAGGTTTGCAGCATAGAACATTACAGATTCATAAACCTCTAACTTGCATTACTGGACAACTGGGCTTTTGATTTTTGCGTTTAGTAAGAAGAAAATTAGTGAAACAAAGTCCTCAAAGCATGGAACATTTTCTTTAACTCTGCCAGGTAAGATAAAACAAAACAAAATATAGCAATTACACATGGAACCATAACCTACCAAACACAAACATTGTCTCCAAAGGTGCAAATAGGTTGTACCTGGACCTTAAGCAGCATAATCATCTTGATTTCACAAAGTAATACAAACAGGAAACAAAGTGTTAAAGTGTATCAGCAATTCTACAACTGCCAACTACCAAGCTAACCTTCAGGGAAAGAGAAAAGCGGCACATACAGAATCTTGAGTTTGCTGACAATGTATAAAATAAGGTCATTCCCCAAACCACATTCTTCATAAATCTTTACAGTAATAGTTTGAAATTTGGGGAAATGTTTTTTGGACTTTTAAATAGAACTGGGAAGCTGTCAATATCAAGAAGTGGGTAAAAAAAATGCTGTCCTTTGGGTTCCAGACCCTGCCTGCTTCCATTTGAAATTCCTTCTAGATTCTTATCACACTGAGATTCTAGCTCCTCCACCAGCTATGTGGGCTCTGTGAGGAAAGCCACAGCTCAGCCACCTCTGGGATAGAAAGCATAAAAATGTGTCCCTGGTACCATGAAATCATGCAAGAGATGTGAGAAAACAAAGTCTGGGGAAGCAGAGCATCAGGGCTTCTGCTCCCTCCCAAGCTGCATGGCACAGTGAAGTTCCAATGCTCCAGTGAAGCTGGAAATGGAAATGGTGCCATTGCCTATTCACCATGCCAGGCAGAGAAACCAGGAGGGTCAGTATGTGCCCCAACCTCACCCAAAAGTCAATTAAATGAAATGCAAATTGAATTTACAACTGTTTCCAACTAAGTTTTTGTTTTTCCGGGGGGCCCTCATTCCTCTCATCAGTGTGGCACGATTTCAAGTGAAGATTGTGCAAAGACTCGCCTTCGTTCAACGATGTGTACAGAAGGAAATTCCAAGACACTATTTGCTACCTTCTTGGTAGGCTTCCAGATCAGAGTGCCCTGTCCTCCAGCAGCCAAAATGGCCTCTTTGTCCAATGTCCATCACCCTCATGGCCAAATCCCTGAAGTCAGTTGGTGTCACGTGCATTCAGCATGCTAGATTTATTTATTTAAATATGCGAAGCTCCTCCTGCAGATGTCCTGGGATTATGCCCCAATTAGTCTTGGGAGCCCAATTTCATGTGGAGCAGCAGAGGGCAATCTGCTGCACCTTGCTCAGGTCCGTCAGCAGCTGCTTGATGCAATGCTTGAGCTGTGGAAGCCTAGCCAGCGGCTCAGGAGGCTCCAGTTCCCCAGTGTAATCCAGCCAGCTCTCCAGCACTGGAGGTAGAAGAGAGAAGATCCAGTCAGCTCTCAGTCTTAATTGACAAGAGCCTCAGCAAGAGTTTCAGCTCATCCCATTTGAGAGGGGAGAGGAGGGAAGGCCACTTAAAGCCCAGATTGCCTCAACACCTGTACCCCACGAAGCATTATCCCTGAGTACCAAGCTGACCAAGCTCATGTTATAAAGGTTTGAACATAACCCCATGGGCTCATGTGCTGAATGACGGCTGGTCTCCAGCTGGTGCTATTTTTGTAGTCACTAACAGTAACTTTGAAGATTATACCTGGGTCCCTTCCTCTCTGATGCCTATGTGCTATGACGTAAACAGCCTCCTCTACCACATTCTGCCCAATCACAGAAACAAGCAACCCAAACAGAACTCTGAAATTAAGAGCTACTTAAGAAAATGTTACCTTAAGACAACAAAACAAAGATAAATGCTTCATAACAGCAGAGTCAAAAGAAGTCTCTGTCAGTGATAGCATGATCTATGTGTTAGCGCTAGCATAAGAGCCCCCAGCTATAGCATATGCAGCTACTGGGCTCTTAAAGTAAGGCCAGTGCAACTAAGGAGCTTAATGTAAAGTGTAGTCACTTTGAGCTCAGTCACACATTGTTAGTTGCTCCTGTTAGCGGGCTCCACCCACCTTTCTCAGTGACACTGAGCTGTTGTAAATCAGGCAGCTTCCATGTCCAACCTCCTGTCAATGAGTCTACAGACTTGAAAATGTCTGTTTTTTATCACCGTCAATTTCCTTCATATTAATTCCTGATATATAATTTTCAGTGGCATAAAATTTTCTTTTGTCTTTTTTTTT